CGTGAGTAGTACGCATAACTAGAGGCTGAATTTGAAATTTTTAGCTCACGTATGAAGAGGGAATACCTCTGCATAGTTTCAGCCCCTTACCTCGTCTGGCTTCCGCGATCGCTTTCCCGCCAAAAAATTTGTACTTTTTTTTAAGACGCCCGTACGCAACACCCAGGCGATGATATTAAAAAGGGAAGGTCGCGCATGGTATTGGCACATACTTCCAAAGTTTCAGCCTTCTAGCTTTTCTGGCTCTCGAGTTGAAAGTGGGCGACAAAAAGTGCGAGCACACAGACCCACAAAGCCTCTTGCCGATATGCGTTTTTGCAATTTGCACATGTGCAAAAACATATAAAAACCGAAAGAATGTGGAAAAATTGAGCGGCCAGTGATGCTAACTAGAAAGTCTGAATGGAGCTGTAATAATGGAGGGGCGACTGATTTTGTGATTATGGCTTCATTGCTGTACACTACATGTGTTAGCAACAGGACAGGTAACAGTGTCAAGTCAACTTCGTCCAAGTACTAGCACAGTGTCAATGAAGTAACCTTGATAAACAATTCGCAAAGATTCACAACGAATTCCGCTTCACCGACATTATAAACTTCTACGCCCGAGTCGCCAAATGTTGCACAAAATGAGGAATTTTCTCGGGATTTGGTGTCCACGAACACTATGGTATCGGTCAAGGCATTCGATACGCACAGCTCACATATACCTAAAACATTTTTCAATAATTTTTTTTTTTTTTTTTACAATTATGTCCGTAAATTTGTTTCACATTTCTTATGATTGTAAGTGAAAATACACGGCTTTTTGATCTACACTCAAAAACGAACTAAGATGTCTGGAGAAAAAATGATCGGCAGCAACGGCGGGATTCTGGGCCACAACGGGAAGGCATGCTTCAGCAACCCCGTTATTCGCACATCGAAGTTTACTGTCGTAAAATAAAGTACTGCTAAGCTCTGCAATTGGCCTGAAATTTAAAGAAATTAAAAAGTTAAAATTCCAACCATTGCAAGTGTTTTTTTTCCGAAAAGGCCACTTGGAACTGCGAATTAAAAATCGGAATGTCAAAAATTAAACGAAACCTGTTCATGCGATATTGTGAACAGAGTGTAATAACTGCTGCTTG